GCGTTGACAAGAATTCCAGGGGTTGGTGCTGGGCTGTCGGTGAATGAAATCCATCTTATGTTTGTGTGTGGGTGTGTGTGTGTGTGTGTGTGTGTGTGTGTGTGTGTGTGTGTGTGTGTGTGTGTGTGTGTGTGTGTGTGTGTGTGTGTGTGTGTGTGTGCTTCAGCCACCGTCTGGATTGATTTACCTTATTCCAGGTATGATTTTTTTTATTTCCAAAAGTATATTAAAGATTGTTGAAACATTTGTAGCAACAGATGTGTTTGAGTTCACTGTAAAACTACAAATCCAGCTCATAGCATTGTGATTTCAATCTATTTACAACCTGTGACCTATAGATTTGGATTAATATCTGTTAAATAGATTAATCTCTGTTAAAGTATAAACACAGTGTTGCCTGTCTGTGTGGAGACCTGCAGGTTAGAAAGAAAGGAGGGCTCCTCCTCAACCTCTTATCTCCTCCCCCGGTTAAATGACAGCCTCTGTTCACTATGACTGTACAAAAACAATGCTGACAGAGCTGTATGTTTCCTGTCAAACACACAGTCTTTTCATAAAGTTCAGGGGACTCTGAAACAGTATTTGACACTTTAAAATAAAGGAAAACATCTGAAATGCTCCACCATTCAAATCAATTAAATGCGATTGGAATAGCCGTATTAAAATGTACGGACAGAATTAAAATTTACAGACAGATGGTTTGGGAATTAAACATTATTTTCCCACTTTTTTAAATGTATTAACAAGGACACAGTTAATTAAACTTACAAGGGGTTCACATGTTACTCAACATGACTCAGATACATGCCAGGGTTGGGTTTCACAAACGTGCTCAAACTGTGACATTTGCAACTGAGGCCTGCCTATTTGGTCAGAACTGACCGATAAAATGTGTTACATGTAAAGGTCAAATGAGAATACCAACGGAAAGGACAAGCACTTAACACTGCCTGTCATCACAACAAAAATTAGGGGAAATCTCTAGTGTCCATTCATTATTTTGACATCAGATATCACCCTGCAACAGCCAAACCAAATCAACAATACAGTCATGTGCTCTGGTTTCCAACATTTTGTAAGAATTAAATACTTCCTATAATATTAAACGCCTTCAATTCACTCTACCTTTTACAACTATATTGTAAAATGAGGAAAGTGTGTCTCTGAAGGCACACACACACATACACACATGGTCAGTCACAGAGACATTACCAGACATTATACACACACAGTGACAGGCGACAGGGTCAAAACAAAGTATGGGATGATCACTGAGGCATAGGCCACACCTGCAGGGTACATGTGGCTCTGATAGTGCTGTTTCTTTTGTCACAGCTTGTGTGTGTGTGTGTGTGTGTGTGTGTGTGTGTGTGTGTGTGTGTGTGTGTGTGTGTGTGTGTATGTATGTATGTATGTATGTGTGTGTGTGTGTGTGTGTGTGTCTGCCAGTTCCGCCTCAGTTCTCTCCCCTCATTGCTATAGGCGCCTATTTAACCTCACCTCACATACCAACCACCCTGCTAACACAGATACACACCGGCACGGGGACACATAACAAACACCAGTGCACACAGGCAGATGTCAGAGGGGTGACGATGTGAATGAGACACAGTTAAACTGGTGTGTGTGTGTGTGTGTGTGTGTGTGTGTGTGTGTGTGTGTGTGTGTGTGTGTGTGTGTGTGTGTGTGTGTGTGTGTCAGTACGACTGAGGCCTGCCCCGCTGTTTAATGCAGAGCAGGTGGAGAGATCCTCTGTGCTGTGAAAAACACTGAAATATACACATGTAAGTAGTAGTATACACAACACAAACACACGCAAATGTGATTTTAGGCAGAAATCGTATATGTCAGATTTGTCCTTCACATTATCACATGATCTCTCCTGTGCCTCATTTGTGCGGTGCTTTAAACACAACATAAATCCTTTATTTCTTTGTTGTGCTGTTATTCTATATTTACGATATCTGTTATGTGACGGCTCACATCTAGACAACCTTGAAAACGCTGCGATCAAGGCTGATAACTACGGGTTGCAATTGCACTTTGAAGACAAAACAACATTAATTAGCGTTTTAAATGGCAATGCAGGCGTCAGATGCATGCTGCCTCCAAGTTTGCCTGGGTATATGAAAAGAGAGGCAAGATTTTATACATATTTCCATCTGTAATCTCTTTCTCTTTTCCTCTGATAACTGTGCTCTGTGAGGTACATAAACAGGAAGCTCATCTACATGGATACGGCATGTTTCAGAGTGTGACAGGTCATCTTTGTACTGGTAGAGTGTAACCTCTCAGTTCTTGCTAAACCTTCAGGTTGCACGCGGCTCCTCTCCCCTCCATCTGCTGGTCTCTGTGAAGTCTGTGCCGGATCACAGGAGCTTTGACTGCGGCTTCTGTCTCTACCACATTGCAGTCATACTTAACCCCTGAGCCAGATCAACAACACATAGGGAAATAAAAAAAAGACATGAGTGAAAACATCAACATTTTTTTCTTTTAAAGTGTTTAAAATGTGCTTTCAGCCCCTGGGTGCAACATTTTTGAATATTTTGCAATGATAAAATACCCAGGTTGAATTCCCCTGAAATGTGCATGTTGAAGAAAACTAAAAATAAAGTAGTGTGCATGTATTATACTATAGGTCTTTTACATAATATAGTGAATTCATGGTTTTAATGATCAGAAATCAGTTTTGCAAATGAGCTGAAATGAGCAATTTGCTCTGCATTTAAAAAGATATATATTTGCCAATAGTGCTTTAAAGTATTCTTCCTCATGCTGTTCATTGTCATAAACAAAACATGTGAGTCCCCAAATTCTCATAAATTCAAATTAATTGTCATCAGATCACATTAGTAGGCCGTTTTGTTTCGAAAAAAAGGCCTTAATACGTGCACGATTTTGTTCTAACACACAGTTAAATGTCATGTTTACAATATAATGTCTCTATAAATCCAGCGATTCAACCTTCCTCATTTCCCCTGGAGGGAGAACCTTTTCCATTCTGGTTACCTGCAAGCGACACCAGAAAGTTTGAAGGGGAAGAGAGTGAAAAAGATGACAATACTCTATTCATGCTAAAAAAAAATCGCTGTATCAAAAGGAAATCCTCTCTGTTAAATAAACAATATCAGCAAAAAGAACACAAAAAGTTTTCAATTGGTTTAAAGCAGCAGATCAGTGCAGAGAGCCAGTTTTAGAACAATGGAAATTCAACACGATTATTAAACAGTTTTTCTACCAAACAGACGTGGAAGCATGCGTGTTGAACTAGAGGATCTCTGGGTGCAGCTCCCCTCGCAGACTGATGCATTACTTTTCATCCATCCATCTAATTATTCCCTTAGAAACCTGAAATTTGAAGATACAAAAGACCGTCCCTATCTGTCACTGAGCGCCATTGATCTTATTGAAAGAAAATGTGGGTGTAGAGGAAACCCAATATAACTCATGCCATTAAATTCCACACAGCATTATTCACATACAGAATTGACAGATTTCTGTGAGACGTTTCTTTTAATCTTCAACTGTTGTTGAAGAAAAAGGGGGGAAAATCCTACACTCCAGGCATCTTTCCCTTTTCCATATTTGCAGTGAGGTTAACAAAAAAGGCTATTGAAGTGTAGCAGAAGAAACACAACCCCACCTAACTTGTTGATTATTAACAACGGGGATGGGAAGAAGACAGATGTGTTCCTGTGTATCAGTGGTGTTTGAATTGTCAGTCTGAAATCAGCTATGAAACTTTTATCAAAGCAAAGTAAACTGATCAATTCCAGATGCTCTCGCTGTCCATGCGAGTCAATCTGCGTAACCATTTTTGTCAATAAATTCTCATGATATTCCCAAGAGCAGCGCATGCGCGTCATGGGATGTGTGGGTATTCTGCATGTGTATAATTATAGAAAGCGAGACTGTGTCGAAGTCTGTGCTTATGACTGTGTTTTTTCAGGAGAATCCAATAAGGCTGTCTCTGTGGTGCATTCACTTACACACATACTTTTACACTCTCAACAAATCACCATGTGTATTTTAAACTAATTCAGAATAACCAATGTTTTGTTTTGTTGCAACATAAGAACATGTCAAAGAAGTTGAACGTCATTATGTAGCCTGTATTTAATTAAAGATTTTAACTCACTATATGTATCTATTGGATAAAAGTGTCGAACAAGTGACATAATATTGTTGGTCCCACCTGAAAGCTATTGTTTCTATTTTACAAACCGAACATATGGATAGTCTATAAAAATGTATGCAGTTTAATAGATTAAACTAATCAACATTTTAAGATTAGTTTGAACATATATAATTGGTATTTCAGCAACATCTGAACAAACATGAAGAGTGTGAGAAGTTGTTCAAAGTAAAGGGAAAAGATGGTAAGTGGACCTTGATGTCAGATTTTTTTTAAACACATTAAAATGATCAAAATAATAAAAGAAAACCAGAAAATCTTCACCTTTAACAAGTTAAAGCCATTAGATGTTTTTGTATGAAAAATAAAAAGCAAATGATCCTCATGAATGTTGCTTCTATAGTTAAACTCTTCACATGTATTCTGTGCAAACATCTTCATTTGTAAAGTAGGCCTCAAAACTAAAGCTTTCAGATAAATGTAGTGGATTTAATCGTTTAAAATCGTTAGGGTTAATCTCAAATGTAGTGAATTGGAAAGGGGCCTGAAACTAAAAGCCTCAAAAAAGGAAGCACAAGAAATACCTCAAAGTTGTATTTGTGATACAATAGTCATAATGTAGGCTACTTTCCAAAGAGTCGTTTTAAAGCTCTCCAGAAGGCTGATATAAACTTTTTTGTTTTCAGATCCAACTGTACTCGCTCTCTTACTATAATCTCCTACTGCTCAATCATTTCCATACACGTTTAATGGCGAAAGCAGGGGAGTTGTGATGGTTTGAGTTGGAGTTCCTCTGTTGAATCTCGCGGTATTTGACAGCTTCCCTCCATTCTTTGACACTTGCCCCTCCCCTCCGCTCCGGGAATGCTGGGTTGTTTACATTACTGGCACACGAGTCAGCACAGTGGTGATGAGAGGGGCCTTACTGATGCACACACTTTCTGAAAACACGTACGCATCTCGACTGTCTCTAACAAGCCCAGGCTCTCTCCGAAAAAAACTTTCCAGCGCTTACCCGACGGTGCCACGCAACAAGAGAGGCCCGCCGAGTCAACTTTTAGGAGCGACCTTGGAAAGAGAAGAGAAAGTCAAAACAAAGACAACCGCCATAACCACCAGGAGAAACTTTCAACGTGAAGAAGGAATAGCTTAGCAACAGACTCCCACTTCCTGGTAAGAACTGAGACACCGTTAGCTGGCACTGAACTTATGAATGTGTACCACTTTGGAAAACTAACACAACACTTATGTAATCCTCATCTATATTCTGGCTCGGTTGGAGATTAATAGGCTTAAACGGCTCTAAACATGTCACCGTTCCTAGTGCGAAGTCGATGTTGACACTCACTTGAAAAAGTTTCCGCAAAGTTCGCTAGTTAGCCTAGCTTCTTAGCCTAGCATGGAGCATTGCTAACTTTCACTACTTTGAAGTTACACAGTTGCCGCTGTCATTTAAAGTTAACAACGACATTATCACGATATAATAACAGTGTTGGAAAGACAATCTTCCGTATAATGAAGTTTACAGCCATACATGTAGTTAAACCTGTTGTGGCAGCATGACGGTAGCAAAATAAAGTAGCCTTTTCTGATGCCATGCTAGAGTTACAATTATGGTACAGTACACGTATACTGTACATAATAACATCGTACGGCCGTACTTATGGAATAGTTTTACGTGTTATTCTTAAAGGTGAGACTTAATTGATGTGACATTACAGCACATTTCTGTATTTACTCTATTTTTACTGCTGGTATATGACGTCTTTGCAGTGTTGGTATGTTACTGCGTAACTAATGTGTGGTCTAGATATTTCTATATGTTCTGCAGAGGTAGTAAACGTCCTATCTGCAACAGCAAATATCCATTCGTTCCTATAGGCTTACCTTACTTTGGATAACTTAATTAATATTATAGTAGAACAAAAATAAAAAGTAAACAGAGTGACATGCAGATGAATACAAGTGTCAGGCTGTGCGATCATAGATCTACAGGCCTATAAGGTTGTTGACCACAATTGCTGCACATTTACTTGATATTTTAGGGAAAGTGCCTTTTCAAAGTCATCATGCTAAGGGGAAGCGTTTACACAATGTGGTGCCTTTTCATTTCAGGTTCTCACTTTGTATTTCTTCACCCCTTTCCCTCAAACTATTTTAGGAGTGTGCATTTACGTAGACACGTTGTGCCTCTCTTCCTCTGTTTCTTACTTCTCTCTTCCTACCCGTCTCTCAGACCTATCCTAAGGGAGCAGACACGTTCTGCCTCTTTATCTCCGAGGGTCAAAGATTCATAGGGCCAGGGATTCCTTTGAGAGATATGCGCCGGCCCATGCCTTAAGCCTTGGACTTCTACACAACTGCTCGGGTCTTGATAGATTGAGTGGGGAAGTTCAGGAGAACAACAACAACAACAGTGTTAACCTTCCATGTGCCTCTGCATAGTATAACACATCTGTATCCCTCAAACACATCTTCCAACAAACTTATTTGCACAATACAGAAGTCGAGGCCTTCAAGCGTACACATTTTGTAATAAATAAATAAATACATAGCTGATGAAAGTAATATTTAGTTGTGAAAATATGCTTCTGAATTCAACCTTTATTAACTGGTTATATGAGACTTGGTTTGGTAATGGCACCCACACTGATCTGTGTTTTTCCTGGCTCAGATGAGGCAAAGTTCACTGAGTTGATTTGATCTATGAACTTTGGTTTATTACTTTAAAAGTAAGTTTTGATTGACTTTAAGTGACTTTAATTTGATTGCTTGTCAGTTCACTATTGTGCTTCACCATCACATGGAGTGACTTTATACCTTGTAAAACATGCAGGGCAGTAGTATTCAAGTGGTTGCATTTAGTTGAGGAGGTAACTTTATTTAGTGACTCAGTAATTGCTGGAAGAGAAGCTAACAGTTTGAGGAGGGAATAGGGAAGAGGCCTATGACTGATACATTGTCCAGTTCCCATTTAAAATGATACATTTTAGACACTAATATTAAAAGGTTCTTTGATGGATGGCATACAGAGTAATGAACAATATATACATTTAGTCAATACATTTATTGTGACCCATCTCCGTATGGAAAAAGCCCAACGTGCTGCTTCTAGCTATCTGTTTAACACTGTTTAACACATTAAGAGTTATAGCCTTGCAGACAGTGTTTATTTGAAGTAGAACTACTGGTAGTTGTAAAGGGGTGATTTATTTGAATGAAAAATAAATCAAGTATGTTTTGGGAAGAAAGTGTTTTGTGTGTGACTCACTGTTTTTTGTGAGAGTCAGAATGGTTATTGCAAAATCGTTAGCACAGTGAATCCATCAGCGGCTGTTGGATCATTTTTTAATTGCTCATCTTAATGGTATTATTAATAATGATTTACAAAAAATATAGTAATAATAATGTTACAGAATTACTAAAATCTTCAAGGCAGAATAATAATAAAAAGTAAATAAAAGCCAGCAAGAAGTCAAAAAAGCAATTCAAATCAAACTTTACACTCCCAGGCGTAACCGTTTTGGGGGTCACACACATAGAGTGAAAACTGTTTCTCATGCCATGTTGCTGTCGCTGCTTATCACAGCCAAATATTTCAGGCATCATACTACGACATTTGGCTACGCTGCAGAGAGATGATTCAGACAAGAGTTAGTGGAAACTGACATACCTTGTTGACCCAATTATTACTCACTTCTCTGTTGCCACACTCGATGATCGTCAAAGACAACAGGCTTGAGTCTGCCAGCGTCATCAGGTGATGGAGATGAACACCGGCTGGCTCTGTGAAGTTGACTATCAAGGAATGTGTCATGAACCGGATGATCAGCAAATTGCTGCCAAATGTTTGCATCACTCTGTAGAGGGATTTCTGCCAGTATATCCCTCTTTGAATCCGAACTGATGAGAGGTGGATTACTTTTGACAGGCTTTGGCAAAACTTTATTATTTTTGCCTGGATCCATTGTTTGGATTATACAGGGGTAACAAGGGTGGACTTTAAAGTGGTGAGAGCAGTAATTGCTAGTGTTACGGCCTGATTGAAACTGAAAATAAAAGTACACCGGAATAGAAATTCTCTTATCAGGACTTAGTTAAGTTATCTTACTTGATTATTGAAAGATTCAATGATGATTTGGCATAATCACATGCGCTAAAATTGGACCTTCTAAAGATATATTATTAACCAGACCTTTCCAATGATTTATACTGGGTTCGTATACATTCATATTAGCATATACATATGTTCCGTCAGTGTAGCTTTAATGGAATCTAACATTTCTGCTACTAAGACGTTTAGAGTGAAAAAGGCCATTCATTGGCGAGGATAAATCTTCTGCAACCCAAGCAGTGATTTAGCGCAGTGGAATTGACCAAATCGCTCTATCCTGTGAGAGCTTCCTGTTTTAGCCCTGGAGCTGGCCCCTCTGCTGGATTAAAGATCAGATGAGACATTTGTCATCTGACCACTTACACAGTCATCTTGCCTTTGGCTTTCATAAAGAACTAAAAATGTTAGCTATGTTTTTCTTTCATTCGCAAAGCATATTTGAAAGAAGATGCTTCCTAAGGCCATTTTTGAGCTACATTAAACACTGTCTTTCGCATGATGTCAAAGACCTTGGCCCTGCATTGTACAGAGAAGATGCTGGCAAAGGTAGCGGATCACTGCTTAGGATATAGGCTCTTTCGGTGTACTTTCTCTGCAATTAGTTCTTGCATTATCAAATAATAAAAGCGAGAAAAAGAAAATACATGCTTGACGCCTTCCCCAGAAGAATTTAGAATCAAGTCTTTCCAACCCGCGTCTCAGTTTGGCTAGAGTTTAGTAAGGTCTTTGGCAATGAGAGTGGGCTGTCTAAGATGCTCCTTACGCTCCCCTCAAACAACCAGCCAGTCAATATTTTCCCTATCCATCTCCCTTACATCTTATGAAGGGTCACTGATGTTTCAAGCATTCAAATATCCTTGGAGGATGCCTTGCGGCTGCCTGTGTCATGTGAAAGTTCTCAATTTCTCTCTGGCATTGATGCTTTTCTCAATGGGCTCTGCAGTGCTCTGGGGGGAACAGGCTTCAAAGACATGCAAACACAAAAATTACTGACCTACGACCCTGCTCAAAGTTTATGAAATGCTTTCAGTGCCCTTTGCTCAGCTGGTGCCATGACCACACAATATCAGTGGGTTATTTCGACTACAAAGGGTGCTAGAAAAAGGTGTTATTCATCCTTTATTTTTTATATATTTGTTATCTTGCCTTTGGTTCTGAAATCCTGCTCTAAATGAAACAACTCTATTTGTGTATATATTGGAGTTATGAACCTATTTAATGAATGCATTAATTACCATAAAAGGCATTTTTCCGCAGATAAAAACAGATTAAACAAAGATGAATAATAATTAGCTTGAATACTCCTGCATTTTGAACGTGTACACTGGAAAGGTTAAAACAAGGCCTATTTAAAAAATAACACTGTTAAGCTTTAAGTGGGTAAACATTTCTGTATTTTTCATGACAGAAATAGCATGCTGTTTGAATGACTTCATGGAACTTACTGAAATAGCTGTGTATGGCATCTGTTAGTTAGTGGTGGTGAACTTGGGCCTTTTTCTTAGTGACTTTATGTATTTGACGACTGACTGCTCATGCTTTATACTTTAAATATATAGTTCTTATTATGTATGAACTGTGTACATTACTGCATGTTGAAGAATAAGCAGTTTTTTTACCATTTTAAAAAAAAGCCACCAAGTCCATGGCATATGTGAACTGTGCTCAAAATCTGACTGTCAAGCAGCATCCTCATTTCTATTGGAGATCACTCTCCAATCATCCCCTCTGCCTCTATCTCTTTTGATCTTCCACACGCAGAAATACAAGTCCCTCAGGATACAAATTCACTTTCACAGAAATAATTACAAGATGCTATATGCCACTGTAAACACCACATAAGTGACAGTGACAGTATGCATTTGTCATGAGAAGAGACAAAAGCAGCATGAATCTGCACTCATGAACAGAACTTCATATTTTTTTGTGTTGCTTGCTGACTGTGCTATGGGCGTTTGTTCCAACCTCATCACAAATGAGCGTTAATGTTTCACACGGGATTTGCTGCAGAAGAGAGCACATTTGTATGAGAGCATCTTGTTTTGACAGACGGTCTGTT